TATTAGTTTTTAGAATGTCAACTATAAAATTACGCTTGTAAATAAACAATATAATAGTGTTTAATATTTTTGTTATAAAGAATAAAAAATATATAAATTCTTTTTCATCTGTGGCCAGATATTTGGCCGAATGGACATTTCACTGAAAAAGTACAAGTAAAAATAGTACCAAGCAATACTTTAAGTATTTTAATTAGCAGTATTATAACATAGAATAGGACTAATAATTACCACTGAATTTCAAGTGATCAAATTACTAAATCGAAATTTAAAGTTAAGTTTTCTTATTTCAATATCTGTTTATTGAAATTAGTATTTTTAAAAATATTTGAGTGTATTTGGGTAAAGAGTAACACCTAATTATTTAAATTCATATTTAACAGTAAGATAAAATCTAGTTCGTCCCTTTTAAGATAATGATCATTAAAAGCGAAATTGAAAGATCTTTTATGTCGTAAAAGCATGTGTGAGCATTACAGAATTTTAGAAATATCAAAGTGGGATATGACCCCAAATCTGGCATGGAACATGAAACTAGACCAAACTATCCTGGTGGATATAAATAAAAGGTTCAGTCAAAATTCTAATCTTGTGAAGAAGGCCAGAGTGTACAATGGCTGAAACGTTGTGAATATGGCAAAAAAGATGACAACAGTCCAAAAAATGTAAATAGTGTAAACCAATGATTTCCAACATGGAGGACATGTGTAGGATGTTCACCCTTCAGCTTACTATACCAAAGAATAAAAGGGAAATTCAAGAGTGAGTTATTGACAGTGAATTGTTTTCTAGTGAGCTCAAATTTCATTTTGCATTATTATTTCATGATTAAAATGATCAAAGTATATTACAGAATAAGCTTTCATTTAAATATTTTATATTTCTGCCTTTCAGTTAGCGATTATATGTTTTGAAACTATATATATTTAACTGTCTTTTTGTTTTTTTTATTTTTCTCTTTCATGAACATGATAGTATTTGGAGGCTTGTTTAGAGACTTAATATCCTTTTAAGCTTCTTTCACATGAATTGCAGTAAAATTTTGAATATGCAAGAATTAAATATTGCGGGTCAACAGAATTTTAGAAATACCAAAGTGGGGCATCGCCCAAAATCAGTTGGGAACCATTGGTGTAAACTATTTATGAATTAGTACAAGATTTCTCTTTTTGTTAACAATCTTAGCATATGTTCTGTAATACATATCCCAGAATACATATCTCTGTACAACATATCCCTGAGTTCTAAATTTAAAAAAGAAGAAGAAAAATATGTAAATAGTAATTTTATTGTAGCTTTATTAAAAAAAAAAAAAAAAAAATGGAGAAAAAAGAAAAATATATATGAATATAGAAAAAACAGATTTATTTTTTAACAGTCAAGTATATAAAAATAACATTATAAAATTTGATATTTCTTCATTTGAGACAAGAGACTTATGTAATCCAATGATTTCTTTTGGTCAGATATCCTCATCAACTTTACTTACATCATTCACAGGGAGAGAGAAGAGGCTTTTAACTTCTTTGGCAACTTTTTTTTTTTTTTTTTTTTTTAAGCGTTTTACCCCAAGCAAGGCAGGAAGCCACTAGCACACAAGGGGTTACAGAGAGTTGGAGTTAAAGCAAATAGGAGTGATAGAGGAAAGGATGAAGAGAAGGATAGGGGATAGATCAGGGCATCTGGAGACGTCAATTGACATTACATTTGAATAGTTGGAGATTATAGCTATCAGGGAAACAGGAAAATGGATGGGAGTTCCACAGGCGAGATGTGCGAGACATGAAGCTATTGGAGTAGAAGAGATACCTACATTTAACAGTTTCAACAGTGAAAGGGTGTAAGTGAGATGCCAGCCTAGTAGAACACTTAAATTCATGAAGTTTTGGAACCAGCGAAAGCAGCTCCTTGGAGCAGTTACCATGAAAGTATTTGTAAAAAAGACTATTAGCCAGTTTTCCCCTTTTAGACATTCTCTAACTATAGGAAACAGAATTTTTACAAGGAAGCACATTTTTAGACATTGCAATCGTAAGTACAAAACCACGTTCTAAATACACAGAAGAATGGTACCCAAGTGAAGAAGCTGTAACGATCAAAATGTAACTGCTGGTGTTAATGGTTTATCTTCATTTTTAGGCAGATGAAGAAGATTCATGAAATTAAAATCCAAATTATCACTCGCTTCTAATATAAAATTCACACTTCATTTCTGACATGCAAGTATATTTAGAATTCTATGAAGATAAAATAACACAGATAAATTGTTTTTTTAGGTGTGGTACTTCAAACTAAAAATCATTAATAGATTACTGATAAAGTACTTTCAGACACTTGTTAAATTTCATGATAGTCAAGGGACCAAAGAGCCAGCACTTGAATAATTAGGAACAAATGAAAATGCTTCACAAGTCATATATATATATATATATATATATATATATATATATATATATATATAAAATGATTTTTAAGATTGAGTGATTAATTCATTTTTATGGCTTATGAAACCATTTGTGGGTTATTTAAAACTGAAACACATTTTTTTTGTGAGTGAATATTGCATTAATAATCTTTTGAATATAACAATGGTATTTCCAGATAAAATTATTTAACCCATAGCGGGGAGGAGGAGAAGAAAGGGATTTATACTTTTTTTCAAGGATTGAGCCACTATATATTACACAGCCTATCAATTTTTAGGTAAATACCATTTTGATATCCTTTTAGGATATCCTTTTATAGAGAAAACTACTTCAATCACTTTATTTTGCATGATAAATATCACTTGCATTTCCTAAATAGATATTTACTATAGCAATTAGTTAAAAAATACAAGGGGTGCTGAAAATTTCCATATCCAACTGCTTTTTTTAAAATTAGTATTAAGTGGGTAAGGTTGAAAAATTCCTGGTACACACTCAAATGCAACCCAGTTTTCTTTCCGTTAAATATAACTACCAAAATTAACCGACAGGTAATTTTGGCTATAACCAAATCATAGAATTTTCTTGTGATGGTTATGTCTATCTTTGTTGCAATATGTTTTTAAATGAGATTTCAGTTGGGAATCCATCTTTCAATTTGGCATGAATCTTGCAAGACTAATCCTCGAAGGATGAGAATCTTAACAGATATTTAATGTTTTTGGTGTATTGAGCAAATTTGGATTAATGAAATAATTGATTGTATGTTCATTAAAGGAAAAAAAAGGACAATGAGATATATATTCAAAAAGACCATATTAATATGATTATTATATTTTGTCAATTTAAGATCAGTGATGAAATATGACATTGCCTAAGATTAAAAACAAAAATAAACAAAAACACTATAAAGATGAAGAGGAGACCACAAAAAAGAAAACTTTTAGAAACTTAATCTTTGTAAGTAGTAAGCATCTTAAAAATGTTTAAAGGAATTAATTTAAAAAGAAGATAAATGACTTTTTGTCCAGTTGAAGTTTTGGCACATTCATTTATAATATGTGTGTGTGTTTGAGTAAAGACTAAAGGAAAACTTAGCCAATGCATTTCATTCTCCGATGGACTTCATCAAGACAAATGTGAGGTTTTTATTTTGCAAAAAGTATTTATAAACAAAAGGAAAAATATCAGTTTTTCAAAATTTTTAAATTTAAGAGACACTCCTAAATTTTCACCAGATTAACTGAAAAGTCCCGGTAAATTATGGAGGATGCTAAGTGACGTAATTTAATGTCTAATATATGAATGTGAGCAAATCATGTTGTTAAATTTTTTTATGCAGTTAATATCTAAATTATGGGATAAATTTATATATTTTTTAAATAACATGAGGTTATGAAATTAACCATTTTCTTTTAAGTTTTTAACATTTTTATAATCATGTATGGTGGCTTGGAATAGGAATAATTCTTTCAGGAATAGAGATATTTGAAAAAATCCATAGCGCTGATTTATATTTTGATAAGATTCAATAGCAGCACTCTTGAGTATTTTCTAAGTAAGTTACTTTCTCTTTTAATAAGTGTAGCATTCTTTAGATTAAAGTTGTGGTTGAATTTATTTCTGTGCATAACTAATGCATTTGATAAATCTTTGTGTACAAGATCCTTTTTGTATTCATAGATACATTATTTTTTAAATTTCTGCAAGTTTCCCCAATGTATTGTGAAGAGCAGTTGTGACAGTATATTTTATATATACCTGGTTCAGAATTATTATTGTGATGGATATTTTTCGTTCTTATTATATCCATGATAGTTTTGGATATGGTTGTAATTATTTTGATATTGTTAAGATTGGATAAATTGTTTATTACAAATTAAATTTATTAGACATTAAATTACATCAATTAGCATCCTCCATAATTTACAGTTAACCTGATGAATATTTATGAGCATCTGTTAAATTTTAAAATTTTGAAAAATTAACATTTTTACTTTTGTTTATAAATATTTGTTGCAAAATTCTCACATTTGCTTTGATAAAGTTTGTCAGAGGACAAAACATGTCAGCTAAGTTTTCCTTTTGTTTTTATTCATATTGCTCTTTTACAGGTTTATTGTAGTTATGTCTGAGATTCTTACATACACACACAAATATATTTATGTAAGAGTGGACACTGAGATCCATGTCGAATGGCAACAGTCCATTTCATGCAAAGAATATTACATTTAAGCATGAAACAGACCATTTCTGCTTGGTGCTGACCATTGTGTTCACTTTTTTATATTAACATACATATATGCTCTATCTCTGATATTGAGCACTTTTAACCATAAAACTAGAATTTTTATACCTTCAAACTACATATATATATATATATATATATATATATATATAACTTTGCTGCTACAAACATTTAAGAACTTTGTTGAATACTCATTTGGAATGCTGTAAATGAACAGTGAATAAAATATAAATATATATATATATATATATATATATATATATATATATTCAAAAAGAAGACTTGGTTTTTTGGCATGAAATAATTCCAGTTGAATTCCTTGTTCATTAACACCAACCCGGGGACCAAATACCATTATGATACTTTGGATTAGCATAAGGATTTCCGCTTGGATAGCGTGGTGTCACCATTGAGGTTTTGTATTCTTGAAGACGGGCCTTCAGTCTATTCTTAATATTAGGATACTTTTTAGCAAGATCAAAATGCTCAGTTGGATCATCTGAAAAGAAATAAAACTTGACTAAAACAGTTGCAATAAATTAAAAATATATATCTACATAAAAATATGTATCTACATAAAAAATAATACAATAAAAACATAATACATAATTTAAAAAAAAAAAAAGAAATCATTTCACCCTATGCAAGGAGATAAAGCCACTGAGACGCAAGAAAATATATACACAAACACATATTTTCCCAACTTCACATTTATACAGACTACCTGTTCACATTTATTAATAACAGGTTTTAAAATCTACTTTAATTACTTTCATATCATTTTACAGTCGAAATTGCTAGATGTAACTATGTCCTATGCTAACAGTTTCTTTTCTCCAACTTATTGCTTATGAAACTCTTCTGGCCTCTTGCTTTTCAACCAACTTTGATCTTCAAAAATTTAAATACAATTTCAATAATTCCTGTTCTTTTATTGTTCTCTCTCCTTAATATTTTTTCTTTTTCTCTTATTCTTTCACACTCAGTAACTCCTTGTACCTTGGTGGCTTTATTACTTTGCTTGGGGTGAAATGATTGAAAAAAAATGTTATTCTTAAAAATACCTTAATTTTTTATTTGGGCACAGACATTTTCAAACAAGAAAGATATCTTTGGAGTTATGGAATGAGAAAATTATGCAGCATTTCAATGTACACATGATCTTTGATTGTTGAGGTAATGACTGCCACGTCCCCTGGTCCTTTGAATGACCCTGTATCATGAATGATTTTTTCAATCTATGTATGGAGGAGAAAACTGAAAATTATAGAATTAATAAACAAGAGGAAGGAAATTATTTTTGTTAGTACACTGACACATTCCTTTTGAGAAAGATGAAAAAAAAAATGCATAGCTTAGGAGCGTCCAAAGAAAATGAATGTCCATTTTGAAAATTGTACAGTGAGAAACAGTCTGTTAACTGATAAATACATTCTTTTGAGTACCTCATTGTGGTGTGTGGTTTAGCAAGTTGGCTTTGCAGATCAATTATTACTTCATTGTCATGTACTGTTGGCTTTGCAGATCAATTATTACTCTGTAATAAAATCAATTTTATTACAAAGTAATAATTCATTATCATTGGATGACATTTGTAGCCTTCTGCCCAAAATACACTATGTCTTTAATAAATAGCTAAAATTACATTCTTAGACTCTTGGAAAACATTTTTTTTCATGAACTTTACAACTGAAATAAATAGAAAAGTGTATTTTAATATCCTGAATTGTAACACCACTTTCATTACAAGTAATGTGAACATTCCCATTGACAAAGCCTGGGCTGCAATGCACAAACTGTCAATAGTCTAGAAAAGAAATCTATTTTACCGGATAAAATGTTACAGTACTTTTTCCAAGCCATAGTCTTTCTCTAGGATAGCACTATATGGATACTGACAAAACAATTGGTAAAGAAGTATGACAGCACATATACAAGGGTGCTACATGTCGCAGTGAATCAATTATTTATGTCAGTTATTATGTTGAATCTACTACCAATGCTATATCGGGAATTGTATTAGATCGGATGGTCAAACTGTAGATTATAATGGGCTTTGACAAGTGGTTGTTGCTGTCAAATGATTATCTGGGCAATGATGATGATGCTAGTAGGGGAAACAGACATGCGTATGGTAGCAAGAAACAAAGGCCTTGTATGCAAGAATAATATAAGATTAAATTTGAAATAAAATTAATTATGTTGCCAAAACTACAAACAGTTAATTAAAACAAAAGTGGCTTATGAAAAACCTTATGAAGGTAAACCTCTTGTATGAGTCCAGATAAAAAATAAAATATATAAACAAAAAAAGAATTCAAATTAAAATAAGGCTTTTGCTTTCCTTTAAAACCCTCATCTCTTTCTCTCTATATACTTCTCGACTAATGAGAAGGCAACCCTCAAATTAAAAAAGAGGAAGAAGAAAAGACTGAATATGGCCGATAAACAGTGGAAATTTCTGGGAACAGAATCTAGCCATTTGGGACTAGAAATCTACCAAAATAAAAGAGGCTCCATGTATAACTTCTGCTATATTTAAAAGAAATGAAAAAGAAAAGAACATCATAAAATTAAATAATTTTGTACAATCAAAAAAATTAACACAAAGAAAATTTTTCATATTAGCCGAAACCAATCTTCATGCCAGTAATCTGGGAGCCTTGTCAAAAAAAGACATAAACGGATAGTCAAGAGGCATAAGAGTAGAAGGTACCACTAGGGAAACCGGCCATATGTGTCACATGAAGAAATTAAGCGGTCATCTGCTTAAGATATTTTTCCGCCCTTCTTAGAGCCAAGAAAAGATTAATGCCACACCTATTCCTAAAATGACAACTACTACAAAGGTCTGACTCCTAAACTACCAACTGCTATGCCAAAACAGACTTTCTCCTGATTTTTAACTTTCATTAAACTGAATTACAAACGACTCACTCCAATCTAAATCAAATAAATATATATTATTTGTTTATACCCTTGATTCAGTGCATATTATTATTTCTAAAGTTTCCAATAAATAATTGCTAAGAACCTTTGATACTCTTTCCACACTGGTGACCTCCCAATGTGAATACACATTTACCCACACACTCTTTATTGAAAGGTATGTAGGGGTGAGGTCTCTGTTTGTGGTTAAGTTTTTTAATATCTGCATTTAGTGTAATATTGGGTGGAAGGAGAATGAAGCCATGGTGAACTCTGTGTATGTAAACAACTGCCTGTTGGTGAAAATTTGTGTCTGGGGCTCAACTCGACATTCAGCTTTTGCACTTTGATTTAGGTGACAATGCCAGTGATTGGATGATTAAATTAAATTCTAAATGTATTCTTTGTTTTGTCAATCAGAAGTGATGCATAGGGGCCATGTGCCAAGAACAAATTTTTTAATTGTAATTTTGTGGGGTTCACACCTGGTTGGTGATGAGTTTAAAATAGCATAAATCAGAGAGAGATTTGTTGGATTTGAAGTAGAATATAACATATGCAAAGACAAAGGATGTAAAACTACCAGGTGTGATGGATAATCATGAAGGCTGGAGAGAAAGAGTTGTTAGGCACCATGCAATTGGAATGTCTTCACAATGAAATTCTTATCTAATAGAATTTAAATAAAGTTTTAAGTTTATTTCAATGTTTTTAAAATTTTATATGCTAAAGATCCATAAAATAAATTTTGATTTTGTAAAGTAATTTCATGCTTTTTATTTTTTAAACATTTTTTCCCTGCCTTAAAGGCTACTAAAAAACTTCGGAAAATCTGGGAATTATTTTTATATCTGAACTTTTGTTCTCATCTTTTTTGTTATTATCACAGAATTTTGTCAATTTTCCTATCAAGCTTAGTCTGTTGATAAAGGTTACCTGTATAAACAGACTATGCCTGATCAGTACAATCTTAATCTGTTCAGGAAATTTCACATTGAAAACTTTATTCAATCTACAGGGTAAAAATGTTCTTCCACTGTCATTCCCTAAACATGGACAGTAGAAAAAGAACAATCTACCTGTAATTACAATCTACCTGTAATTACAAGCTAATCTGAATTAATATTAACATTTCAAGGACAGTCGTATTAGATATTTCAAAGGCCTTTGACAAAGTGTGGCATCAGGGATTACAGCTCAAGCTCTCAAGGTAAGGAGTCACTGGAAAAGCCTTCTCAGTTAAAAAATTTCCTTCCAAACAGGTAGATCCCTGAAGCTAATTGTCAATGGCCAGTCCTCTGAATCCCAGGCGATCAATGCAGTCATCCACCAAGGTTTGCCTTTCGGTTCAAGCCTCTTCCTCCTTTACATAAATGATCTGCTTAAGAGTATACTCCAATCTTTTGTGAATATCTATGCTGATGATACAATGACATATGGGTGAACCTCCAAAATCCTCAATATCCAGAGCTTGGCAGCTGATCTCTGACCTAACACTATGAAGTGTGTAACTCAACAATTCAACTGGTGATAGCAGGTAGGCACAAAGAAAACCGGGTCGCACGTCCAACCTTCTCACGAGCCGAAAGCCTTTTCGTTTAAACAGCAGAAACGAGCCTGCTTTATACAGCTGCGGACCGACCACGATTTGCATGCGAATCACAAGGCAACGAGATTTCACGTTAACTGACCGAGACTACTCGCATAAAATGCGGGCGCCGCCATTTTGGTTTTTTTTTTACAGTTGGAAGGACCAGTGTTTACATACTGCGCCCAGATTCGAACGTTTCGAGGTAGGCCATTTTCACAATTTTCCCCACACTCCCCCTGATCTCATGATCACAAACAGGGCAGGGAGGTGGCGATCGTCGCCGTCGAGTCCCTCTCCGAAGGGGATAACACAAGCTTCATCCAAATGCGTGTTCTCGTCTGTGGTTTGAGTGTCGGTAAACACTGTGTCCGCCGGGGAGGCTGCTGTTATCAGAATCGCTGCCCTGCAGGTCTAACTCAAGGCAGATTGAACGCTCACTACTCCCAGACTCGGAATCGCTTTTCATCGCCGGTGGCGGTAGTGATTGCGTCACCCGGTCGCAAGTCTTTAATGTGACGAGGCACCCCATCAACTCTCACAGATTGCGGGCTGATAACCTCCGTAACACGCCCAGTGCCGTACTTTTGTCGTACACTTGCCGCGTGGGTTTTTGACCCAAACGATGTCTCCTTTTTTCAATCTCCCTCCAGTCACTTCTAGTTCAGGCAGCGGTTGGCTTCGATGCCCCTCACGCGGGACATGATATTTGTGCAGTGCATCAGCCGGCGCCCGTGGATGGTGAAATGTTATCCTTCGGGCGACATTATACCAGTAAACCGCTTCGAAACTGTGCAGCCCTTCCTGGCTGCGATGGTCTTGATGGTTCTGTGGTTCCGCTCCCGATGCCGTTTCCACTTGGCGAGTAGGCACATCGAAACCGCAGATGCACGTCCCAAGTGTCCGCAAATTCTTTAAAATCTTTACTGGTGAACGCAGTATCGTTATCCGTTAGTATTTCCATGGGTGGGCCTCGCTCCAGG